TCGGCCCATCTTACTGTGGCCCATAGAACGGTCCATTACCCAACTCGGCCCAATTTATTTATAAATTACCCTCTCAATATATATATTGTTTAGGTAGTAAGAGTATTCTTAATAAAACTAAAGGTCCTGGGTTCGAACATTTTTCACCTCTATCTCTCTATGACTTTTTATTTTAGGCTAGAAACCTTATTTCTTAAAGAAATTAAAAATAACAAATAAAATTAAACATTGAGATGGTAAAAAGGAGTTGAACCTAAGACCACTGGTCTAACAAACAACACTTTTACCACTTAAGAAATAGACACTACGGTCATGTTTGATTTTGTGAAACAATTTTAAAAAATAATTTTTTGAAAAGAGTTTAAAAAATTTAAAAATTTGTTTGTTTCCAAAATAATTTTTTGAGTTTTCAATTCGTATTTTTATATTTTTAATGTGTTAAATATTTTTATCAATTTTTTTTTTTAAAAAAAACTTTTTAGATCCACTTAATCTTAATATATTTAAAAAGTAAAAATTTGTACAAAAATCTTTAAAAAATTCATTGAATACAACAAAATACTAAAATATATTGGATTTGCGTATTTTTTTTGTATTTTTTATATTTGGTGAACTTTTTTAAAAAAAATTCATAAATATTACACTTTTTAAATATATTTAGATTAGGTGTATCTAAAAAAAATGCATAAAATATTTTAAAATTTCACTAAATACAAAAAATAAAAAAAAATAAAACTCAATTTTCTAAAAAGTGATTCAATTTTCTAGAACCAAACATGGTATTTGGAGTTTTAGAGTTTGGGATAATTAATTTAATCTATTTTTTTTTTTTTTGATAATTGAATAGATGAGTGTGAAAAAAAAAAGTGATTGATTGTTGTGTAACATGTGAGAGAATGAGAGAAAAAAAAAATTTCAAACCAAACAAATTTTTGAATTTGTTCTAAAAAATTTGCTCACGAAGGATAAACCAAACCAAGGCCCACATGCCCTTAAATTCAAAATTTAAAAAAATTTATATTTTTATAGATGAAATAAATTATAAATACACTTTCTGATAATTTGTATAAAATATAAATTGTCCTCATGTAATTTTGAACTATGTCACGTCCTTCGAATTTCTGATTTTATAGGCAAATAGTTCTTTTTATTAATATATTGTTAATTATTTAACATTTTTTAATGATGTCGATATTTATTTTAATATTAATTCAAATAATTTTTTTTTATTTTATAAAAAAATAGTTTATGATTTTATTTTATAATTAATTTTTAATTAAAAATCTGAATAAAAAAATATTTAAAAATTATATTTTAAAAACTAAAAGAATATATTTTTAAAATGTAACCTAGTTGAACCGCACAGCCATCACCGTACACCCATCAGTAGTAGAATAAGTTTATTGATTTAGTCTAGGCGGCAATGTCATGGGTACTCCCAGCATGTATTATGAATTCGTAGAAGAAGTGAGGTTTACCGATTTTTTGTATTGAATGATTAAAGAATATGAGAGAAAATAGTAATTTGTTGATTGGTCAGAGGTACTAGTCACTGATGTCTTTTAAATCAGCTAATAATTTTTCCTAGTTAGGCTCAAATAAACCGAGTGATTCAATGAACAAGCTCGACTTAGCTCGTTAAGGGGTTGGCTCGGCTTGGTTCATTTAGTAAAACGAGCCGAGTTCGAGCTCGAATATTAAGTTCGTTTAGTAAACGAGCCGAAATCAAACTCGCCATAAGCTCGACTTCATCAAGTTTCGGTTCGTTTATCTTTATTTACATTATATAATAATATATTAATTTATATAATTAAATAATATATAAAGTAAAAGTATAAATAATATATTTATATTTAGATATTAAATATAATAAAAAAATTATATATAATTATAATTAGAGATATATTAAATAAATAAATAAATAAATATAAAATAATTAATATGACGTAATCGATAACGTAAATATATAATGATAAAATTAAAAAATAAATATAAAAATATATATAAAAATAATATTATAATAAAATTTAAATTTATAATATTAAAAATAAATATTTAAAAAAATATATAAATTTAAAAATTATAATTCATAAAACACTATAAAAAAGATTAATGAGGATCTTTATAAAAAGTTATATAATAATATTAAAAAAAATAGTAAAAAAATATAATTATAAAAGAACGGTAAAGATATGTATAATTAGCAATAATAAATATATAAAAAATTAAAAGAAATAAAAAATAAATATAAATATTAAAAAAAAATATAATAAAAAATAATTAATAAAATAATTAAAATAATAATATAAAAAAATGATTATTAAAAAAAAATAATATGTTAAAAATATAATAAAAAAAAAATTAAAAAAAAAATTAATAAAATTAAAAATTTTTAAATATAAAATAAAAATATATAAATAATTATTTATTAAAATAATAAAAAAAAGTACTAATATTATAAAAATTGATAAAATAAATATAAAATAACAATTAATAATATGTTAAGTAATAATAGTAATAATAGAATTTAAAAAGAATAATTAAATAAGGCTCTGTAAACCAACTTATTAATTATAATTATAAATAATATAATTAATAAATACATAAATAAAAAAAAAAAAAATTAATAATTATTATTATAAAAAAATATTAAATAATAAAATAACTATATCTTTTAAAATAATATTTTATATAAATAATATTAAAAAATTATCGAACGCGACCGACCGAGCTCGAGCCCAATTCCTTATCGCCGAGGTTTGAGCTCAATAAGAAACGAGCCGAGCTCAAACTTAATAAACTCGACTCGACTCGACTCGACTCGGTGGTTTGCAGCCTATTTTTAGTAATATGTATGGAAGGTGTTTGGGTTGTATAACGAGCATTTTCAATGACAAATCTATAATAATATGCCAAAGTTATAATTTGGCAATGACTAGTAAAAATTGCTCATTATAAAGTACTCCTAATGATACAGTATTATTTTGACAGAATTTCAACCAACTTTCTTTCAAATGTAGTGGATTTGGAATACAGTTTTTTTATATATATTTTTTTATTGTTTAGTTTTTGCTTAATGACTTTTCAAAAACTTTCTGAATAAAATTTATATGTGGTTAGTTTAACTCTCAAACATAATTTTTTCCATTTGTTTGGTTAGAATTTCGGAAAGGAATTAAAAATCACTTTTTCTCTCCTACACATCTAAATCAATCACTTTTTCTTTCTTCTCTTCCTTCTCCAATCAATTTTTTTCTCTCACACACATGACTCACTAGAAAAAATCAATCTAAATTCCAAACACCTATACTCCAAAACTATTTTAAAATATACAACCAAAACAAGTACGTGAAAAAAAATTTCTAAACTCTTTCCCCAATATTGTTTTTGAAATTTCTTTCTCCGAAAACCAAACCAAACATACCCTAAATATTTACCAATCAAGTTGAAAATTAAAAAATTTAAAAAGTAAAAAAAATATTAAAGATTGAAAAACAAATTTAAATAAAATTCACCCCATTTGTCATAAAGCAACCATAAAATTCACCCGTATGTGCAAAGCGACCAACAAGTGCTTCTCTCACTCTCTCTCTCTCTCTCTCTCTACACTATGCTGAGAAAATATAAAACGCCTGAACAATATTCAATGTCGAAACCCGAAAAACCTGCGAAAGTCGGAGAAACCCATCTTCGATCATATTCAATTGACCTATATTGTGGCCCCTGCAAAATCCTAAACCCTAAATCGGTTTGAGAAAGAACCCTTTAAAACCATTGAATATCGAAAAGATGAAAACAATAAGATGATGAAACGCTCAAATACAAGCCCAAAATCATCCATATCCTTCTATCCACTCATTTGGCAGGATCTATCATTCTGAATGAAGATCAGTTCCAACAAAAACAGATCAGTTTGACGAACTCTGCTATCCTTCTCTCTCTCTCTCTCTCTCACACACACCACACACACAATCTGGCATCTTTCACTTTTTTTGGTATGTCGGCGATCCCTCTACGATTTTTTCTTTCTTTGATTTATTCTAAGATATTTTTTTTCTATAGCCATTTTTATATTTTTTTCCCTAAAATATTTGTTTTATCATTATTTTTGAAAAAATATGTGTTAATAGTTTGTTGTAAAAATTCTGAAGGGATGACATTGCATTTGATTGAGTTGTTTGGGTTTTTTGTTTGTTTTTCGGCAGGGAAATCCGAATGCAGTTGGTTGTTGAGGCTGGCAAGTTTGACAATTGCCAAAGCTCCTGTCAAATTGGCATTAAAGAGGCATTGCTATAATTTGGTGAGAGTATAGTAGACCATGGAGAAGACGTTTTGTGCACACCTGTTATAATTTGGGCTTTGGCAGTTCCATAAGGAATCATTGGAGAATGCTTTAGGTGGTGTTTGGTTTTTAATTTTTGACTAAATAACATAAAAGACAAAAAAAAAATCAAAAAAAATAACAAAAAGACAAAAAAGACAAAAAAACCTCCACCATTCCAAGTTAAAAGCTAAAAAACCAATCAAGAACACTCCAACATGAACAAAAAAGCTCAAAAAGCTAATCTAAAAAAGTTATTGCCAAACGAAGGCAGCTTAAGATGCCCATATCATATGTACTTACGTAAATTTTTATAAATATA